CTCCTCAAGAGGCCTCATTTCCATGACCTCTGCCGCTCCCATCCAGGGTCTCGTCTCCACCATTCCCTTTCTTCTCAGAAGTCCTCCCGATCACCCACCTTAGTGAACATTTCCACTCTACTTCCCGTGACCCTCACTCCTTCTGTTTTCTGACCCCTTCTTCATCTTCGATGACCCAGCTTCTATGACCCTCAACATCTATGACTTCTCCCCATTGTCCATTACATGCTCCCTAACTTTGCCAGGGGCCACCCAAACCCCCATCCCTGCCCTTTCTCTAAGCTTCTCTGGACTCTCCCTGATCCCACTAGACTGCCAGAAAGGCCCCCATCCCATCAGTCTGTTGGCTGGATGTGTAGGGTCTGATGGAAGAAGCTGTGGGTGACTGTTCCCATTGCACAAATGCGAAGGTCAAGCCAGGAAGAGGAAGGGCCTAGTAATACCCTCACCTTAGACCCAGGAGGTCCCAGTTCCAGAGACCAGCCTGGCCCCACTTCCACTCATAAGGCAGTGGGGACAAGGTTGTAGTAGGGGAGCTGTTGCTTGAGGTAATGAGGTGTTAGTGGGGGTGGGTATGCGTGCTTCACCAAGGCTCAAGCTGGGCCTGACCAGAAAGACAGGTCAGCCAGGGGCCATGCCGCTTGGGAGACACGTGCTGAGAGCAAGCCACAACCTGCTTCCCTCCAGGGCTTTTCTCTTCATTCTTGCCCGTGGATCCCCCTCTCCCACACCTACGACCCCCCTACTCCAACACACACCATACACTGACATTGTATCTAGAATGATATTTCCTGATTTGCATGTGCTTTCCCTTAGAAAATACTCAGCTAGTAACCAAGGACTCCGAAACTAAACAAAGGGAACAAGGAATATCTTCAACTGCATAGCAGGAGGAATCCTTCAAACGCTCTAGGGCAAAGCAGTCCCAAAACAAAGGAGGGATGAGGTCAGGGGGCATTCTGAAGGATTGGGAGAAGCTGCTCTGGTGAGGGCCCTAGAGGGCAGTGGGTAACAGGGCTTAGGGGAAACCAGTGAGGGCTGGGAGATCAGGGACACTTAGGAAGAGCACTGAGGTAGAAGTCCATTGCCTGGCTCCCACTGCCCCACTCTCTGCCCCTGTGCTCTCAGATGCTCTCACTTACACATTCCGCTGGCCTTGGCTCCTGTGTGTCATGTACCAGGGTGGCGCCAAGTCCTGTACGTGCATCAGCTCGTTTTACCTTCCAATAAAACCATGAAGTGGAAACTACTGTCCCTATTATCTCATATTAAGTTGAGGAAACTGAGACCCAAAGAGATTTAGTAACCTCCCTAAGGTCACACAGTTAGGAAGGCGTGGAACTGGTTTTCCACTCCAGTCCTGACCAACTCCAACTAAGCTCCTGGCATGGAGGTACCACACTGTGCTGACCCCTGGTTGGCAAATGGAAGAGAAATCCTCGCAGTGAGTGCTTTCTTACTTACCTGGGCTTGGGTGGGGACACGTCTCACTTGAACTCGCCCGAGGCCACAA